CATGGATTAGAATTTGTTTTTTTTTTGAAAGTGGGTAGAATATTGGGAAATATTTTTTTGGAAGTAGTGGGGTAATATTTCTACGCCCAGTAGATGACCGAACGTAGCTCTGGTACCACTGTTAGTTTATGAATTATCAAATAGTAAAAACTTATTTGATTGGTAGAAAGAATGGGGAGGCAAATTTATAATGATAGACTTAGTTGAGAGGAAAACTAGTTTAGAGGAATAGTTGGAATATATTTGAGTAATGAAAATGACTTACTAGTTGCTTGGTATATATAGGCCTCAACACCACATTCATGTTTTATGTAGAAAATTCTAGAGATATCTATTTCTAGAATTTTCTATCTATGTGTAATTTTCTACATAATTCTAGGATTTGTATCTAGTAGTTACTAGCATACCTATGTATTTTTCTATAAAAATCTAGATTATTCTAGAAGTTTGTATCATATTTTAACATTCCCTTCCGTTCAAATTTCTCGCCACTTTTTGCAATTGGTAACTTTCTCACTCAAAGAGTGCTTTTGAATGTTTCCACACTTTCTAAACTCGACCTTTTTTCATTCAAGAGAATTTTCGAAGAACATTGTTTTTTTTTTTAATTCTATTCAAACAATATTCATGTTATTCATTTCTCACTAGTCTAGATACCTATAAACTCGACAGACACCCCTCTCACTTGCAAATTGAAAAAATTGCTCCTTCCAACACTTAACCAAGTGAAACAAACACACAAAATTGAGGTTTTTAATTCACAAAAAAACTGCTTTAAAATTCGATTTCAAATCGTTCTCTAGTCTTGGAAAAACAAGTGACATGACCAAAGGCACAATTTTGTTCTAGGTAATAATAATTCAAGCTTTTGTAATTAAACATTAGGAAGATCACATCGATCAACATTAAATTAATTGTTGTTAAATAAGCTTAAGCTATATAGAAGGAAATTAAGAATCCAACAATCGATTAAGCTAATAGCTACACTCCCTAGTTATAAAAGCAAAATGATGAACAAAATTAAATTACATTTCTAATTAACGTCTCAAAATTAACCAAAACTATAAATGACCCAAGTCATCATTAACCATGAACCATTCAAATTGGATGCATCAATACCCCCAAAAATACATGTTGGGCATTACTTCACTCTATTGCAGTTCAAACTCTTCACTCTACCACTACTAGCTACAACAACATCAATCTCATGTTCCAAAGAAACATCATTATCAATAATGCTATAGAAAGGTGCGAAAAAATGGGTAAACAAGAAAATGAGAGAAATAGCAAATTAAAGTAAATCCAATTAAAAGAGAATCATTTAATAATAGCAATAGAAAGAGTGCGAAAAAAAATTACCTGCAAGCACAATAACCAAGCAAGAAAGTGCAAATGAATTTATGTGAATGACTTGTAGAAAGTCTCGACTAAAGAAAGGTTCCAACGAGAGAGATTGGTGAGTTCAAAGAGGATGGGTGGGGTTTGATTTAGATTTAAGGATTTTGATGAAAAGTGGATTGTTTTGACCTTTTGGGATGAGTAGTCTCCCCTTTTGGATTTTCTTTTTATTATTTTAGAATTAGAAAATAAAGTGTTGGTTAAGTCAACACTATCTATCACTAATTAAATATTACTAAAAAATATTTAGTTAGTGTCGACTTGATTGACATAATTAATTTAGTAAATTAAATTATGTTTATATAATATTATATTCTAATATTTAAATACAATATAAAATTAAATTATAAAGTGTCAGTTAGGTTGATGTAAATGATTTTTTTTATAAAAAAAATAATGATATTGTTAAGTGTTAAGAATGGCTTGGACCACACGTTTTTTTATGCAAACTTTAGAATAATGTTGTCTTTAGAGACTATTCAACCAACACCAACTATTGAAAGCAATTTTTTTTATAAAAAATGAAAAATTATTTTTAATAATATTTTATAAAAGAAAAATCGATAATGATGATGTGGAGATGATGTGGAGCAGTGTGCTTTTGGAGATGTGACATACGAGCTTGTGAAGTAGTGGGAAACCTAAGAGACGAGCGTGCATGAACTTTCTTTCTCTACTTACTAAAACTAATTTAAGTTACAATTTTGTTTTAATTAATAACTTATTGTTAATAATTATTAACAACTGTTTTAGGTGCAGCACCTGCCACGTTTAGTGTCTAAACATTTCAAGTAATTTAGATTATTAAATACTAAGATTTTAAATTAATATTATAATTATATTAATATAAAATATTTATAATATATTTAAATCTAGTGTGTCTAATGACGAACATACCAAGTTATATATAATATAAAATAATTTTTTATTTTAAAAAAAATTATATTTCTCTTTATATTCTTTTATTGTTAATAAAAGAAACATACTATTTTATTTTAATAACTTTATCATTTAATGATCCAATCAAATTTGGCTGCTATAATTATTATCATTAATATAAAAAAAATTAATTTTTTTTTTATTTTTTGTGATTTGTGACTGATTTTATAATTGATCATTATCTTAGCCACTGAAATCTAATCCGTCACCAACTTATATACAAATCAGCCGCTACTAATTGCTAAAGGATGAATAAATTATAATTTAAAATAAAGTTGAATAGTGATGAATTTAGCGACCGAATCTTATATGAGTATAGTCATTAAATTAGTAACTAATTTACAATAGTAATCAAATCATTATGTTATTTTGACTTTTTCTTGAAGTGTGAAAGAAGAATAATGTAATATTTGTATCTTTTCAAAGAGAAAAAAACAATTTACTTTAATGAGATTAAGTTAAATAGACTAGATTAAATATTTTAACATAAAAAGGAAGAACAATATAATATTTTTATTTTTTTATGAAAAAATAACGTAATTTACTCTTAATTTATTAATGATAAATGCATCTTACTTGATATAGCATTATTTTAACATATCATTAATCAAGGTGATATCTTGGACTATTACATTGATTCTTTTAAAAGTTTGGCAAACATGAGAATTTCATTAATACATTAGGCTATTCACTTAATTCAACCTTTAGATCATTTAAAAAAAATCATTCTACACATGTAGGATAGTAAAAACGCGTCATCCAACCCTTTTAGTTCGGTCCACCTCAATTCATTTTCATAGTGAGTTGGTTTGGCTTGATCCACCAATTTGAATGTTCAAAAAATTTTAGTGTGACTCAGCCAATCAAGGATTAGTGAACTAAATAGGTTGATCCACTAACCTACTTAATTTTTTTTATAAAAAAAAATTAAAATAAATTCCAATTTAAAATTATCTCCAACCTAAAACAACATCTAATCTAAAATAAAAATTGTCAAACTAAGTATTATGTATAAAATATTAAACTTAATTAAAAAAGTGTACAATTTCAAACAGTCAAAACAAAAAAAATAAAAAAATTATTGTCATCAGAGAGTAATTACTCATTAATATTAAACTTCATTGGAAACTCAGGTAGATAAATCTATAGTAATTTTATGTTGTTTAACATCAATTGTATCTTTCTCTACAAAAAAAAAAGATACCTTATTAAATAATATATATAATAATAAATAATTAAGTGAATCATTAGTGGATTGAATTGATAACAGGTGTATTAGTTAAGTAAATAGTCTAATCCACCACAACTTAATCAAAATGGATCGAGTCAAAAGTGGATTGGATTAAATTTTTGGATCAATTAAAAAAAATTTGATTTTTTTGTCCGACCTAACTTGTACTTGTTTTTACAGTAAACCAGGCTAACCCACACACTTTAACAACCATACCAGATTCTTGTACTTTGAATTAGGGTCCATTATATTTAGCCTTTTATTTATTTATTAAAGTTGAAGTTCATTTTGAAAGACTTTTATGTGCCGTACATGTTATTTATTTTCTTTTGTTTCGTAATATACAAATTTAAAATAAGGAAATGGAACTCCAATCTCAAGCTGCGAAAATCTTCGGACTTATCATTCATAATACAATCTGCTTTAAATTTTAATTTAATACATTTGCCCTGACAAATAATTTGTAATATATGGTTGTTTCTTAGTACGATATATATCTTATACAACACTAATGCGCCTTAAATTTTAATTTAATGCATTCAATGCTCTGCTAGGTAATCTATAATATCTTGTTGCCTTCTTTACACGATATTCTTAATTAGATGCTACATTGAAATCAGACTTTAAAGAATTGTAGAAGAATTTTTTATTATAAAATATTTTGTGATATTAAATTAAGATTTTTTAATATAAAAACCTATGTAATTTTTAATTAAAATAACTAATTGTTTTTAAGAATATATAAAAAAATTGATAGTATTTAATTAAGATAATTAAGATTTTTTTTAAAAAAATACGTCAAAATATGATGATATTTAATTAAAACTTTTTACTTAAAAAATTTATCAGTATTAAAAATATAGAGATTTTAATAGATTGATTTGTAGAATTGATTTTGTATGTATTTATCTATATATTATTAAAGGTATAATAGCTTTTTTTTGAAAATTTTGATTCACATATTTTTTAAAACTTTTTTTTTTCTTTTTAGAATTCAAATATTTTCTATTAATCTTTAATAAATTTAGGGAAATCAATTATGAATGTCACCTTTTTAATGACAATTATGTGTTTTCAATGTTTTTTATTTCAGTTTTTTTATAGATTTTATGATATTATTTTTAATTCATAAGAAATTTCTATTTTTCTTTAAAAATTTTACGACTCAAAACTTGAAAAATTTTAGATAACTAAAATTTTTAATTTAATACATTCAATTCCCTAAACTGGTGGACATTTTATAAAGACAGTACTTTTGTTGAACTGTTCTTTTTAAAGTGATTTTTTGATGTGTATGTTGAACTGTTTTTTTAAAATATATTTTTATTATTATTATTTTTTATCTATTTCTTAAAAATTATTTTTTAATAATCATTTAGATTAATTATTTTTTAAATTTCGAACTAACTGATCCAATTGCTTATATTTACTCAAGCAGAAGCCACAAACTCACTAATTCACTTAGCCATGGCTCTAGATTTCAACTCATCAAACTCCTTGTATGACTTTGTGATCAGAGATGGCAATGGCGTGAAAGGTTTGGAAGACTTAGGTTTAGCAAAGGTGCCAGATAAGTACATACAACCCCCAGAGAAACGAATCAACAAGGAAGATTCAAGGCCAAGTGATGCTCCACCCATTGACTTGTCAAAGCTCAATGGACCTGAACATGAGAAAGTGGCAAATGAGATTGTTAGAGCAACTCAGACTCTTGGCTTCTTTCAGGTAGTGAATCATGGTGTGCCTTTGGAGTTATTGGAATCACTTAAAGATGCTGCTCACACATTTTTCAGCTTGCCACCAGAGAAGAAAGCTTTGTACAGTGTTGGAGTTAGCCCTAGCCCATTGGTAAAGTATGGAACTAGCTTTATGCCTGCCAAAGAGAGGGTTTGGGAATGGAAGGACAGTATGAGTATGAAATATAGCAGTGATGAAGAAGCTCTTCAATATTGGCCTAATGAGTGCAAGTATAAACTTCTTGTCTTTTGATATATAATGAGTTTGTTTGAATATAAATTTAAAAATATTTTTAAGAATTTTTTTTATTAAAAAATGTTCTTTATTTTTTATAGAAAAGTTCTTTAAAAGTTCTTAACATATATCTAAATAGATATATACTTTTGATATATAAATTAAACACTTGAAAACTTTATTTTTATACTTGATAATTGTGATAAAGATCTTGTTTGTTTAATTAACCTTACGTTATATTTGGATGGGATATTCTAGAAATTTGAAATATTTGTAATTTAAATTACTTGAATTCTATTTTTCATCATTTATTAATGGTGTATTTGGATGAGAAATTTTAAAAATTTTTAAAATTTAAAATTTTTAAAATTTGAATTACTTTGATTTTAATTTTTATTTTTTTAAATATTTTGTTTGGATGAGTCAATTCAAAAATCTTAAATTTTAGATTCTTAGTTTTGACATGGCAATTTGATTTCCACCATAGTGTAATTGATTATATATATATATATATATAT